TAATTCCGTAGTTTTTATTTAAGGAAAGAAAATATATTGTTTTATACATAGGAGAGTTGGTCCCTTAAAAATATCTATATATTATAGTTCTAAATGCAAGAAATTAAATGTTACATTATTTCATTCCTAGCAAAGTTGGTCCATTAAAAAATTAAGGCTGAGAAGCTCTGTGAGCTTGACACGTAAGCATGCTCTCCAAGGTTGTGCATTTATGAATGCTTCAGGATTAATATATAGGGGATACTTGTAATTTTTGGGTATATAATGAATCCAGATGGATTCAGATATTTAGACCCGAAAAATACTCGAAATTTCCAAAAATATGAAAATAACAAGAAAAATATCCAAATCTCCAAAAACATATCCAAAAATATTTAATAGCTAAATACCAAAAATATTACTTGAAATATGACATGAGGAACTGAAAATACCCAAAACTTTTTTTGAATACCCAAAATAGATTTTAAAATTTTGAAATTTTACCCGAAACTTGAAACTATAACCAAAAAAAGCAAACCCAAAACTTAGAAAAAATATTTTCGTAAAATCAAAGACATATCCAAATCTCTTATATATTAAAAGAGAAGCATTGTAATAAATGCATTCACACCATAACTGACACGTGTCGGTCGCAAAATCATTTGGCAATTAATGCGTTCACACACTAATTTTTTAAATTCATTAATTAATTTATTTATACACTATTTTAAATTAATTCACTTTTTCTACATTTTTAGCCTTTGTATTAATAAATTAAAACTTTCTATGTGAAATTAATGAATAATATCTTTATTGTAAAAAAAAATTACAAAATCATTAAGATTCGCAACAACTAAAATGTTGCGATGAAAATGTTTGTAGAAATTGAAAGTTTCGTACCTTGTTGAAGTTGGTCATGGTTGAGGCTTCGATACACAATAACAACAAATACGGTGATTGATTATGAATTAATAAAACTGAGGTGAAAAACACCACACATAAATTCAGATATTTAGTTTAGTCAAATATTAACTTTTTTATAAAGTTTTCATATCAGACCAAGAACTAGAAACAAAATCAAATTGGTAGAAAAAAAATCAGAAAAAGCTTAAAAAAGAAATAAAAATCCCAAAATCGATTAAAACAGAATTCATCAAGTGAAGATATCACTTTGTAATATATATTCTTTTTATTTTTTTACGGGTACAAATTTATTTTCTTCATATGAAAAAATGTTATTAATCTCTAGGTTATTTTATTTTTACTTAATTTTATTTAAAAATTTACTATCATGTGTTATTTTGAACAAAAATGTTTTAAATCTTAATTAACGGTATATTCATATATTTATCATCACATTTATATACTTTTACATATATATATATATATATATATATATATATATATATATATATATATGTACACATTGACATGAACGACTATATAACTAAATATTCACCACAAGTGAGAATTATAATTCTTATTGAAGTTGATTTTTCTTTTAATGTTTTCCTATCTCTCAAATTGTAGTGAAATGTTCTGTGTTAATAATTTTATTTTCTTTTTTCTTCAAATATTATTTAGATTTTATTTTACTTTACATGTCTTTAGAAATTATAATAGGAAACTATTAGTTCGACATAAAAAATGTCTAAAATTTATATAAAACGAAACCAAACAAATAACAATAGTTTTTGGTTATCATCAAAAAAATTAAAAACATCAAACATTTAAACCAAACAAACCAAAATAACTATAGATTTATAATGATAGTTATATTTTAGGACATTAAATAAACAACTTAAAAGTGAAATAATTTCCATGCATGCTAAACAGACATAATATTATTTTTGTCTTAAAAGTGACAAAATAATAATCTTATTCCGCGCAAGGCACAGGTTATTACCTAGTATACGTAATATACACAAAACCTTTAGGATAATTTAAATACTTAATCAGGTCTCGGATAAGATCCAGACTCAAGCAGAGGCCCGCGGATCCAAAAAATACCCAATATGTATTTTTCTATGGACCTAAACCGGAACTGTATTTGTGGGTCTGTTTCGGTTAAGTTTTTCGGTTGTTGGTAAAATACTCAGGCTTAGAAGAGAGTTACATAAAAATAATTTAGAGAAAAAAATAATTTCTTTGATATATTAAGATTTTGTAACATAATAATGTACAATAATTCCAACATACTACTTCATATCAAAAATTATTTATATAAAAAATACATTTTTTGAAACACGGATTAAAATCTCATTTTTGTTTATGTTCACAGCCCTAAATATCATTTTGGTGTTACACGGAAGATCAACATCCCCTATATATTAATTGAGAAACATTTGAAAAGTTTTAACCTTAAGTTTGTATTAATTAAAAAATAACTTCATCCTACGTGACACCTCTTTATGTTTTCTATTTCAGTTTAGAAGGATTCTAGAGCACCTTATATAAACTATAGTCTAAAAATTATACTCTCTAGCAATATAATATTTTGCAGACTATAGTTTGTCGTATATATCGAATATTTATTGTTCTGCTGGCTTTCCTTAAATAAAATCTACGGAATTACCTAATGTGATTAAAATATATATATATATATATGGAAATTAATCATTTTAAACAATAAAGATTTGATAACAATCTGTATACTTTTTATCATTTTTTTATTTATTTATTATTAAAATAAATTACACAATTACATTAATCATTAATAAAAATCTAATTTTTTGTGTGTATGTTGGATTTTGATTTTTTTTTAAAACGAGTATAAATTACTAAAACTGTTAAAAGTCTCACATAAGCTTTTATTATCAAGGTTTAAATTTTTTTCTATATTAAGATACAATTATTATAAGAGCATATGAAGAAATAATTTTATTTTAATAGGTTTTATGTTAATATATATACATATATATATATTTCATATCGTTTAAATTAAATTATACATCATATGAAACTACAAACTAATATTTTGATATTTGCATTGAACATATATTGAAAATTTAATATTTTTATTTTAAAATATGTCCTTGTTTTTTGAAATTGATTATAAATTAGTGAAACTACTAAACATAATTAAAAATCATAATTAAATTTTAAATTTCTAAATCATGATACAAAACCAAGCTGACATAGTTTCATTGTAACCAAATAAACCCAAGATTTCTCGACCACATTAAGTTATTTGCGGTAAGTGATATTTTGACCTAAAACATTTTTAAAAATGAGATCAGCTAAAAGTAAACAAACTATGTAATTATCAAAAAAATTAAAAAATGTTTTTTTGGTCAAAAAAATGAAAAAATGTTTAAAGACCAAAAAATACAATGAAAAAATGTTTAAAGACCAAAAAATACAATGAAAAATTTACATTTATTTTTCCACATAATATTTTTTAAATAACTTTTATATAAATTTATCATGCGCAAGGCGCAGATCTTATTCTAGTTATACATATACCGAATAAATTGTATCATGACTTTAAAGTTGTTTAAGCAATTGGTCTTGATATTTTCAGGATTTGAAATAATTATGTTTTCAGGGGTCAAATAATCAATATACATATATATAGATATACTTTTGATCAATTTAAAAACTGAATGATCTAATATATATTAACCACTTAAATTTTGGAACTGCCCAGCTTGCGAAGAAGCATACTACGAATCTGATGAAGATGCCGAACAAAACGAAGAATGAAGAAAGATCCTCTCTACAAAATATACATTGAAGGAGATCCTACTGTCGGTCCACTACGCGATGATAGATACAAATTCATCGTGCAATATTCTGAAAGGAAAGAAGAGCCGAAACAACTTATGATGATAGATCCAGACGACTTTCCCCCAAAAGAAGACTTCACAAAAAATAATGTCGCTCATTGCCCAAAGATTCTCTCTCATGCCATCAACTCTTCTGGTCCTGATCAGCTGAGTCAAGCAGAGAAAGTTCTCAAATGGCAGACAGAGAACGCTCTTGCCCAAAATCAACTTTTATCTACCATTAATAATAAAGTTGATAAATTGGCAGAAAATTGCAACAAGAGGTTACACGGCCTTCAAAGTTCTATAACCGAGATACATGGAAGACTTAACAACCTTCACCATGAAATGATGGCCATGGCGCAAAATATGATGGTGAACACTACCCAGTTCCGCAACAAAGAAGCAGAGATGGCAAGCCTGAAGAATCAACTAAGAGATTTCTAAAAAAGCCTAGAAAGCATGGTTCAAAATCAACGACGTTCAGATACTTACTTTGATCCCCTTAGTTACATATCACCAGGAATGCCTACTTACCACGGAGCATATTCCCCTGGATTCCTCTCTGGCGACCAAACGAAAAAGGCAAAAACTCCACTATCTGGTTTCCTCTCATCCGATGAAATCTTCACATCTCGCTATGGATCAACATCTATCATCTATCCACAGCAACAACAAAAACGCTCAAAACCTCGAAGATAAAAGGAGTCAGAGTTCCAAGTAAATCCGAATAAAAGACCTGTTCTCACTTCATCCTCCAGTCACGAGTCTGTTGACGAGAAGACGAAGACGGATATGGGAAAAGACATTGGAATAATCGAGTTTCGATGGAATATGTCGGCATAGGATCGGTCTTGTGAACAAACGGAACATAGTTCTTCACTTCCGTCTTAATGAAACTCACCATGAAAAAGGTAACATAGCTGAAACTGAAATTCGTTAGTTGAACTTTGTATAATATTTAGAAGGTTTTTTTTTTTTTTTTTTAGAAGGTTTTTCATATGGTGAAAATAAATTTTGTACACATTATTAGGCCAAGCCAGAAGCAATCTCTTGGTATAGAATATGCAAAGTTGTGTCACATCTCACATGTGCATAAGCATTTTTTCTATAACATGTAATAGATAAGTTGTTATCAATTCTCTAACTCTATATTTACACTATTAAACAATATCAGTAACTAAATAACTAATCAGTACAATAATCCTATATATAAGCATGCGAACACAACGTAAGAAACATAAAACAAACAAAATGGCAGTGTCAACACATCATGTGGTTCTCTTTCCTTACATGTCAAAGGGCCACACAATCCCTCTCCTCCAATTCGCCCGTCTCCTCCTCCGTCACCGCCCTAAACAATCAACCACGTCCGTTATCGTCACCGTCTTCACCACTCCTAAGAACCAACCTTTCGTCTCCGACTTCCTCTCCGACACGCCAGTGATCAATGTTATCTCTCTCCCTTTCCCGGAAAATATCTCCGGCATCCCTCCAGGGGTCGAGAGCACCGACAAGCTCCCTTCCATGTCACTCTATGTGCCCTTCACACGCGCCACGAAGCTTCTCCAACCATTCTTCGAAGAATCACTCAAGAATCTTCCAGAAGTTTCCTTCATGGTCTCAGATGGATTTCTCTGGTGGACATCGGAATCTGCAGAAAAGTTCAAGATTCCAAGATTGGTCTTCTACGGCATAAACTCTTATGCCTCTGCCGTCTCCATCTCTGCTTTCAGACACGAACTCTTTACCGAACCAGGCACCGAGTCTGATACAGAACCGGTCACTGTACCGGACTTTCCATGGATTCGGGTTAAGAAGTGTGATCTCAACCTTGATACTCAATCTGGTCCAGCGGCTGAACTATTTATGGACCAAATCATGTCGACAACTACAAGCCACGGGTTTCTAGTAAATAGCTTCACCGAGCTTGAGACAATATTTGTGGATTACAACAACAACTCTGAAGGACCAGAGTCGTGGTCTATTGGGCCGTTGTGTTTGACTGATCCCTCTAAACCGGATCGTGATAAACCGGATTGGATTCATTGGTTGGACCGGAAAGGAGAGGAAGGACGTCCGGTTTTGTACGTGGCGTTTGGAACGCAGGCAGAGATATCAAACAAGCAACTCACGGAACTAGCTTTAGGCTTGGAAGATTCCAAGGTACGTAGGCATAACTATAGACCATGATGCAACCAAAAACCATAGTTACAAAAATATATAGAAACGCTTTTGATTGAAAGGAGGCTTTGGAGACATACATACATGTATTATACTGTTTATGTATATTAGGCATTAATACATTAAGTAGACGTTAAGACTTTTGTCAACTGAATTCCATGACTTTAATTTAGAGTGTGCCCCCTACAAGTCGGCCTTATGTTTATATAATCAAATCTCGATTAATACAAAAACATCGTATTAGACGACGTGTTTTGATTGTATTTGTGTGGATCACAATAGATGATATGAGACATAAAATCTGTAAATTAATAATTGATGCCATGCAATGTCTATAAGATACAAGTTTGCCTATTACTTAAACAATTAAAGTAGACTCGTAGGCTTTGCGTCGACCTAATTCCAAATCAGTAATATGCATTATGCGAATTTGTATATGAATAATGTTATGTATCGATATCAATATAAGCCACTAAACTATAATATCTCATATTTTATGTTAGTTTAAATAGTGACCATTCAAGTTAGGTTTTAAGTGTAAGATATGATTACATATGAAGGTATATGTTGAATTACTAATTTATTAATTATTCCATGGTGTATGATTTTCAAGGTGAATTTTTTATGGGTAACAAGAAAAGACGTGGAAGAGATTATTGGAGAAGGATTCAAAGATAGAATAAGAGAGACTGGGATGATAGTGGATGAATGGGTGGACCAGTGGGAGATATTATCACATGAAAGTGTCAAAGGTTTCTTGAGTCATTGTGGGTGGAACTCAGCATTAGAGAGTATATGCGTTGGGGTCCCCATGTTGGCTTGGCCGATGATGGCGGAGCAGCCATTGAATGCGAAGATGGTCGTGGAAGAGATAAAGGTTGGTGTAAGAGTTCAAACCCAATGTGGGAGTGTGCAAGGACTCGTAACAAGAGATGAACTAAGTCGAAAGGTATCGAGATGCATACATAAATGTTTATTTTGTGTCTTAAGATTATATATTTTCATGTTTTTAAATATTTTATGTTTAATATACTTATTATTTTTATTTTTATTAATATTTTATTTTATTTAAGGAAGTAAGTTGATCATCTATTTTTTTTTAAGTCTTATAAATATTTTTATTTTACAGGTTCGAGAACTAATACAAGGAGAAACAGGCAAAACGGCAAGAAAAAATGTAAAAGAATACTCAAAAATGGCAAAAGCAGCGTTGGTCCAAGGGACTGGTTCATCTTGGATGAATTTAGATTTGCTTCTTAGAAAGCTAAGTAAGAAGAGAGAGACAAACGACATTAATAACTAGCCATATTTAAGAATTCGAAAGGCGCTAGTCTGATCCTCTGTTTGGGACTAATGTTTAATCAATAAATCAGGGATTTTGTGGGATTAAATTGGTGCCTAAATTTTATACTTTAAATTAGAATATGAGATAAACAATACTCCCTCTGTTTCTAAATAAGTGTCACTTTAGCCTTTTAATTTTGTTTCAAAAAAAGTGTCATTCTACAATCCCAATGTAATTTTGTACATTAAATCTATTTTTTACCCTTTTGAATAACCAATAGTATTTTAGTTAAATTATTTTCTTTTAATTAAACATACATTAAATAGGGATATATTAGTCTATTATATAATTTTCTTAATTTATGTGCAAAGAGTCAAAATGACACTTATTTAAAAACAGAGGGAGTAAAATTTAAAGTTGTGTAGTTATTTGTGACAGTACTGATTCCGAGGCAGGTAATGTGTTTGATTTTTGAGTGGTTAATTTTGTTTTACTATTTTTTTGGAACCAATGACTCAATAATTTTTCTTAAAACACTTCAAAATATATGTCTCACATCGAGAATCAAGAGGGAAAGAAGTGTTTTACCTCAGCTAAAAATAAGTATATACAGCCTCTTTGTGTTTTTTTGTAAATGAGCTTCTTTTAAAACCCAAAAATATTTGAATTAGTTAACATTTTTTCAATTTTAATTGGTAAAAGTCAGGTTTAAACCGTTTAATCCGGTTAAGCGGCCGATTATATGGCTGGCCGATTAGATATGTCAATTTGGTCTTATTCGCTGTGCCAGTATACAGTGCCTAGTTGGGCGATTAACCTGACTGAGGACTTGTTAACTTTAACCAAGTTTAGACTGGTTGGTATAATCAAATCAATAAATACAATATATGTATAATTTTTTTTTGGTTCACTTAAAAATTTGAGCAGTATCAATTAAACCGGTGCAAAAGGATAATCCATAATTTTACCAACATTTAATTTTTCTTTTGGCTAACTGATCCATACCAAAATCGAGAAAACTCAAAATTATGGTTTAGATATTTATTTTACTAAATGGTTGGCCACACTTCATGTCGAACATGTTCGTGTCGCTTATGAGTCCATTGCTGACTCATCTTCTCTACAGTCAGATAATACACAAGCAAATATTCATCCGACTGTAGGTGTGGGCATAGATAGAATAATCTATACTATTTATTTTCGAAGTGATTTTTCGCAACGAAGTTCCCGCGTTAAAAGTTAGAATGATTAATATCATTTATAACTTTAATGAAAATAATATATAAATTACATTCAAAATAAAAACGAATTTACATTATTTTGATTAGATAAGTAACTAAAACTAATAATAATCATAAAATTATCCAAAATCTAAATAATATCATTTTAAATAAGATAATTCCGATATGTATTGTGATGTTATCTAAAAATATATTTTTATAAAAACGTTAACAATTAAAACAATAGAAAATACATAAATAAATATTAATCAAGTCAACTTCTTAATTTTATATAGCTGAAAAATATTATTTGATTTTAAAGTTATTTTTAATAGTGAACATAAATTACAAATAAATATATGTAAGAATTGTTAAATGAAAGTATAAGTATTATTGGTTTCAAAAAATAAAACACAATTAATACTTTATCATTATAATCTTTCAATTAGTAAAAGATGTATTAATAAAATAATTATAAAAATTTTAAGCCCGCAAATACGAGAAAAACACCTAATACCATTAGTATTTTTGATTTACTTCATATTTAGCGAATATCTAATTTTTCTTATTAATATTCTTTTAGAAAACACGAATATCTAGAAATTTTAAAAATATTTGCGAAGATTTTTAGATATCTTTACATGGTTAATAGAAGTAAATCTAGAAAAACTATATAAGCTTATTTTTTAAAAAATATATTTTACATAACAGTTGAAGTGGAGTGAATACAAAACTCTAAATTTTTTAGTATTGTGATTTTTTTTTTAATGATTGATTTTAATATTCATTTTGTTCCAAATACTTAAATAAAATTGGATTTTTTTTGGATTGAAAAGAAACAAATAATGAAACGAATCAAAATTAACAATAAATTGACTAGTCCTACATCCCATAACCTCTCGGGCTAAGAACAACATCAAAGATCCCTTAACTAAGTGTATATTGATAGTTGTACTTGATGTCAAATCTGATGTTGAACCATCGACAATTGCTCAAGCTCTTAAAAGAGAAAACTTATGAGTGTCGAGATTAATTAAAAATTATGTGAACACATGAGACTTAGGTTCCAAATGGGAAAATGAATCAAGCGTTGCGGATCTAGCGGATCAAATAGATCGAGCGAAATAAGAGTGAACTAAGTAGAACAAGAGTGAATCAAGCGATACAAATGTGTATGAAGCGGATCTAGTGACCCGAAACCTTTGGTTAAATGGTGAAAGTGATAAAAGAGGTCTAGAAAACTGTATAAAATTTAAATTTATATAAAATGTTCGAAATTAAAAATAGTTAAGATTATAATGCACTAAATATAAAAATATATATTAAAAGTTAACATATTTAATCTTAATTACTTTACAAAATTAGTTATATTTGATTCATTAAAGATACTTTATAGATAACTAAAAGATATTTATTTAACTAATTTGAAAATGTTTATTTTAAGGCCAGGATTTCAGACTGATTTTTAAAATGCTCTAAAAGTATATATTTTTTCAATAGATAAATATATAAAATAACTTAAATAGTTTTCTGATATTTAAATAATATATATAATGTTAACGGATGTCTTTAGATTGAATAAAATGAAAATGTTAACAATTTCAAGTATTTAAGTATTAATATAATAAGTAAGTAGGAGAAAAACATGTTTACTATTATACATAAAATAAATTTAAATGTGCATATTGTTAAAAGTAAAAAATGATATTAAATTAAAAATATATATAACATGTATGCTGTAAATATTTAATTATATGTTGTGTTTAAGTGATATAAAAGTTAAAAGATAAAAAATATAGTTATTATTTTTAGAATATTATGCAAAAATATTATCATGAAAATTTGAGAATGTAATAACTTCAAAATTAAAAATGCTTTAGAAATTAAAAAGTAGATGAGACAGTCATTTTATCGTATGTGTTACATGTAAAGTGAGTCCTCTATTATTTTAGGAGAAAAAAACAAATATTTAGAATATTCACCTTTTGCAACTAAAGCTCCGAGTGAAAACAACATATCAAGCTATTCAAATCAAGTGAATTTAGCGGTACAAGTGTGGATCAAATTAATCTAGTGGTCTAAAACATATGTCCGAATGGTGAAAGTGATGCAAAGTAATGTGCATATTTAAATCAATTTTATATAATTTTATACTATTTGTTTTATAATGAAAGGTAGTTTATTTCAAAAATAATTTAAAATAAATGTGAAATAAATTTTAATAAATGTATAGGACACACAAATTTCTTATAAAATATTTTAAATTTCTATTCATGTCTAGATTCATTGACTACGTCATGTTTGGATAATAGAAAAACTTTTTGATGTTAAAAAAAAAGTTATAGAAAGGAATGATAAATATAAAATATTTTTACACTACGGTAATCTATGCAAAACTCTTAAAATAAACTGAAATAATATTATTGGAAAATTATGAATTAATATATTTTTTTCTATAATAATTGATACTTAATTGTATAATGTTCTTTTATTATGAATTAAAGTGACATACTAGATTTTAACTCACGGTTCGGAAGCGCGGATGGTTTTGTATTATAAAGAAATATTGATATGAAATAGTATTTTTTAATTGTTGTACATTATTATATTACAAAGTCGTATTATATCGAAGAAGATAATTTTTTAAATTATATAATTAATTAATTAGTTTATTTGATTTTTTGGTGTTTGTTTGATTTTCTGGTATCTTTTCATGTAGCATATATTTTGGGTTTTCGAGTATTTTTGGGTTTTGGGTATTTCAAGTCTTTTTCAATCTTAAATATTGAACTGGTCCAGATTCGTTATGTACAAAAAAAATTACAAGTATTTATAGGTATGTAAATAATGGACCCTGATTTGAAAGGAATAAACCCGAACCTAAACCGAAATTTTTTAAATACCTAATTAGGTCAAATGTCTAGACCGAAGAATCTGGACCCAAAATGAACTGTGTACCCAACCTGAAGATATTATGCCCAACCCGAACCTAGACCCCAAATGAAGTTAGACCCAAAATATTAATAATTATATTTGAATTAATCTCAAAAATTTAAATGTCAATTATAAAATTATTAATTATTTAATATTAAAAGAAAATTATACAGTTTTATTTTGATTAAAAGATGGTACATATTCTATTAGTGATGTCCATTTAGACCAACAGTATCACATTGAACTGTTAAGACCCGTTAAATTTTTTTAAAATTTTCAAAATTTACATAGAGAGTCACTTTTACACTTACTAATAACATTCAGAGTCACTTCTTTCTACTCAGGCACTTTCTTTAACTCATTTCTCATTTTTCGCTAAAATTGCCAACTAAAACTTAACTATAATACAAATTGATTTGATTTGTCGTCAGAAACTAAGAAAAAGGTTTTGACTTTTTTTTATTCATTAATTCTCTCTCTCTTTCCTCCATGAATCTCAGCCTCCATCAACACTATCTCAGCCTTCATCAAAACTCTCAGTTACAAATATGATGGAGTCACGAGCTCGTCATTACCGTCAAGCTCCGGTCATGTGAAAGTTTTGCGTGCTGCCATATATCTGTTTTTCTTCTTCATCTTGTTTCATTTTTACCGCCGACAAATCACATAGCTAAAAAAGCAATATGAAATCAAGAGTAATAAGATCAAATCAAATGATTTGAAGCTGTCTTTCCTGCTAATAAGCTAAGGGGCTGAGAAACCCCCAAATTTCCTGCAAAATTTGTAACCCTAAAAGGCTGATGAAGAAGATGAAATAATTACGACAATGCCATTAATAAATTAATATTAAAAAACATGTACATATAGCTATGATATACACGTGTACGCAATACATAACGTTCACAAATTGTACACAAAATAATAACAATTTTACCTTTGATGTACATATGTACGCTACTATTTTTGATTCACATTTGATGTGTACGCAAATGTACACATCCTAATTGTGCACAAAATAATAATATTTTTACATGAAAGCATGTTTTCATTGAAAACAAAGTTATACTGAATTTTTCCTATTTAAGTCAAACTT